AGTAAAGAAGAAATGAGAAATAATGGGAAAATGTGAGAAAGAAAGAGAGAGGGAAAGAGTTTGAAAGAGAGAAGAAAAGGGAGAAAGAGAGAGAGAGAGAGAGAAAAGATTGATAAGGAAATTTTTTTCCGTGATTTATTATCAAGTTCATGCGTCATTTTCCACCAAGTACATGCTGGTGATGATGATGATGGTGAAGACGACGACGATGATGATGATGATGATGATGATGATGCCGACGATGATGATGATCCCAAGATGATGATGATGATGATGACGATGATGATGATGATGATGATGATGATGATGATGATGATAGTTAAAAACATAGACAGGAGAACATAGAAAGACTTTTTTTTACGATTTTTTAATTCAATTTCGTTACGAAGCTCCAAGCTATGGATCATATAATGTGAATAATATTAAAAGTAATAAAGGGATAATAAAAATAATTATTATTATTATTATTATTGTTATTGTTATTATTGTTGTTGTTAGTATTGTTGTTGTTGTTATTACTCAACACTATTATCAACAACAACAGTATCGTAATATCAAAATATCAAGTCTGTAGTTTGTAACAAACAAACAAACAAACAAACAAACAAACACACAAACAAACAAACAAACAAACAGGCAAACAAACAGACAAAAAAACAAACAGAAAAACATGCAAACAAACATCAACAACAACAACAGCATCAACAACAACGCCAACAACAACAAAATTAATGCTTATTAAACGTGTCTTGATAAAGGATGTCTTGGAACGCTTTTCACCTAATAATTATCGTATTAGATTCAAATTTATTTTTATTATTATTATCATCTTTGTTGATGTTTTTGTTGATGTTGTTGTTGATGCTGTTGTTGTTGTTGTTGATGTTGGCGTTGTTGATGTTGTTGTTGCTGTTGTTGATGATGTTGTTGTTGATGTTGTTGTTTTTGTTGATGTTGTTGCTGATGTTGTTGCAACGAAATCCTTATTCATTGAGGCATATTATATTCGTTAAATCATTATTAACAAACACACACATACCACACACAAACACACACACAGACAAACACACGCACACTAAGACAGAAAAAAATAAAAAATTTTAAATAAAATTAAAAAAATTTATAACTTTCTGCAAAAAAGTCCGCCATGGAAAAAAATTTTTAATTTAATTTCTAGACCAAAAAAAAAGTTATTAAAATATTATTTTTTTTAAATTCAAAAACTTGTAAAAAAAAATATTTTCATGGCGTTTTTTCCTCTCTTTGTTTGTATTTTTCGTTCATCCATTGTTTGTTATTGCATGCATATGTAAATCTCTTCCCTACTTCGTCTTCGTAATATTATTATTATTATTGT